TCTACAGTTAAAGTTCGTTCTCCTTTCAGTTGTTCTCTAACTCAGGGAGTTTGCCAAAAATGTTACGGTTCAGATTTAAGCAAAAGTGAAAAAATAATTAAACTAGGTGCAGCAGTGGGAATTATTGCCGCCCAATCTCTTGGTGAACCAGGAACCCAGCTAACCATGGATACTTTCCACACTGGTGGGGTAGCCGGAGAAGAAGATATCATGCAAGGATTACCAAAAGTGAAAGAAATTTTAGGCAATGTTGCTCCCCCCAAACCAAAACAGGCTATTTTGGCACAAGCAGATGGCACAATAAGCAAAATATTAGAGGACCCGGAAAATCAGCAAATCACTATCCAACAAAAATCAGAAAGCGGCCAAGAAATAAGTTATACTTTTGAGTTAGAAAAAAAAGTGAAGGTAAAGGTAGGACAAATGGTCAAAAAAGGAGAAAATTTGACTACCGGAAAGGTAAGTTTAGAAAGATTATTAGAAATAACTGATCGAGAATTTTGCCAAGATTACATTAAAAAAGAAATTTGAAAAATTTATCATGCTCAAGGAATTAGAATAAATGAAAAACATATTGAGTTGTTTACTCGTCGGATGCTAGGCAAAGTTGAAATAACCAAGCCGGGAGATAGTAATTATTTAATCGGAGATTTTGTTGATTACCAGGAATTTTGCCAAACTAACCAAAGTTTAAAAAGTGCAAAAAAAGAACCTGCTCAAGCTAAGAACTTGCTTCTTGGGCTTAAACAAATTGCTAAATATTCTCCTTCCTTACTTGCTAGCATTACTTTCCAAGAAACTTTGAAGTCCTTAATTAATTATTCTATCTATCAGCCGGTTGATTACCTTCAAGGGCCAAAAGAAAGTTTAATTGCCGGACAGTTGGCTCCGGTGGGTTCTGGCTTAGAAGAACGGCAAAAATGAATTAAAAAAGAAGCACAAAAAGTTAAGCATAAGTAATTTTTTCTTTTCTCTAAACCAGAGGTTTGAGTAATGTTTTGTTAAATTGCTACTTCTAAAAGCAGTCTAGTTTTTTAAAATTAACTCCAAAAAAATAAATTGTGTAACAAGATGTTTGCGCGTAAGTGAGAGCCTTTAAACTTTTTCATGTTAAAACTATAAATATATTTTATGATTTTGGAAAAAATTATGTGTATATCACACAGTTGATTGGACTGGTTTTTTTAACCCTGTTTAAAAACTAATTATATTATCTATTGTAAAGATTTGGGTAGGTGAAGGTTCTAATAAGACTCGGTATCTGCCTAAACCTCCTAAATCCAACCGAATCTTTAGAGTAGACTTATAATCTTGCTAATTAAATGGAAAACTTAGAGCAAAAAATAAAAACCTATCAGGAATGACTAAAAAAGAATCCTCCTATTATTGATAAAGGCACCAGCTATGAAATGAAAGAGTGTGAAGGCTGTTATTGCCAAATGTTTGCTGATAGTTCTTATGACTTTTGCTTTGATTGTTCTGACTGTGATAAATTATGTTGTGGCAAGGATTTCAATCCTAATGTCGGTAATTGCTGTGCTTGCTTCGGTAAAAAGAAAGGCAAACCTAAACTAAAAAGAAAACCCTTAACTTTTACTCAAAAACAAAGATTACATTTCGAACAAATCAAAAGACAAATGGACGACTTAATTGAAGAAATTAAAGCTAAAGAAGATACCAATGACCTGCTAACCGCTAAAAGAATTGTAGACACTAAAAGATGAACCGAACAAGAAAAGCAAAGGATTCTTAAAAGTTTAAGTAGGGAAAATTCCCTACAAAATAGAGCAGGTTTTAAACCAATTCAAAACAATTTAAACAAAATTTATTAAAAACTGGTTTAACTAATTTACTTTTTCTCATAAATTCCTTAGTTTCTGAATAAGTTAAATCACAACCAATAAACTCTCTCCCGGTTTCCTGACCAACCTCTAAAACGATAAAAGAACCCGCACAAGGGTCAATTATTAGGTCTCCAGGCTTCGTGGTGGCTTCAATTAAACTCTTAATCAATCCTTTTGGCTTCTGGTGAGGATGTTTTCGCTTGTTGGGTTTGAACTTAGGTTTTTGGGCGTGGTTTTTTTACTTTTTAAGGAAGAAAAAAAGCCAAGTGGGCTTTAATTTATGTTAAGGGCTAGTTATTAATAGGAAATTTAAGTAATTTTGGCTTAAAAAATTAATTATATTAAGGCTATTTAATTGAAAAAAAGAACTTTTATTTTATGCCTAACGGCAGACAGAGTCTTGAATTACTCTTTTGGCTAATTTAATTACTATTTAGTACCCTAAAAGCATAAGTAAACAGAACTTCTTATTAAAAAAATAGTAAAAATAAAAGTATTATGATTAATTGAAAAGATATACATCCTGACTTTAATGAAGAATTACAAAAAGTTTGAGAAAACAAAGGATTTACTTATGAAGAAGTTAAGGAATGGATAAATACAGGTTTGCAGCCTAATGAAATTGATTATTGTGCCTGATTGAAGGATATCAAAAAAGTTAGTGCGGAATGAATGCTAAACTACGGCAATATTGAGGAGTTAAGACAAACATATCAGCAAAATTCGAGAGAGAGAGAGAGAGAGAGAGTAACATACGATTTCAGTAATCTGGTCCATCCATTGGGAGCAATTACTGCTCCTCCTTTAACTATTAAAAAGGTAGAATGAGAAGACAGATCTTGGGGAAAGGTCTTGAAAATAACATTTGCTGAGAATTTTAACTATGACAATAGTGTTTTTAATACTATGCATTTTCTTCGTTATCCTGAAAACATTAACAACGAGAATGAACTAAATGCCGAAGCCTTTTTTTATTTTACTAGCAAATTAAATCAAACTGTTCAGATTCCTATTCGTTGTACTAGATTAGACGACCAGGGGTTTATTTATTGAGTGTTGAGTAATGAGGTGATAGAGGAGATTAGGAATGAAAAAGGTAAGTGAAACAATCTCGGCTATTCTACCTTTGAAGATTTAACTCAAGAAAACAAAGTGTTAATTGAGTGAAGGATTAGCAAAACTCAAAGAGCCCAAGAATATTTAGACCAAAAATTTTCCGATAAAGAACAAAGAAAAAGTATCCAAACACTAGATATCAGCAATCAAAATTTAACTGGAGATTTGGATCTAAATGATTTTACTAACCTAAAAGAAATAAATATTAGTGGTAATCCTCAGTTAGGGACGATAAAGAAGGGGTGAAATACTGTTACTAAAATTAGCGCCCAAGAATGACTAAATTGAAAATATCCTAATAAGCAAGAAGTAAAAGAAATCAGAGTAGATTATAATGATAAAGAAAAGCCTTCAGGAGAACTAGTTATTGCTGATTTTCCTCAGTTAGGAAAAATAAATTTTGCATGACAAAAAAATCTAACTAAACTCCAAATCAGTAATTGTCCATGTTTAGAGGAGTTGAATATTAGCAGCAGTAGCTTTCCTGAGCAAGATTTATCTTTTTTAAGTCAATTTGTTTTAATAATTCCGCAAAGGCCAAAGAACCAGTTTCAATTCTTACCTTTCAATGCTTTCGTAAAAAATCTAAATAATCTTCCAGGAAAACCACCTCTAATTTGGCTTTCCTTAATTCTTCTTGCAGTTCTTCTTCTTTTTGTTGTAATTTAGTTTTTTCTTTTTCTCCTTTGTTTTCCATTTTTAGCGACCTTTTTACCTTGTTTAATTCAGTTTGGATCTGCTTTTTTTTCTGTCCAACTAAATCGGCTTGTAATTCTCAGGCTTCTTTAAGCACTTTAATTTTAACTTTATCTTCTCCCGACTGGATAATCTCTTCTAAAACCTGATTAATCAGCTCCGGATCTACTTTGTGAGATAAAATTTGTTTGTTTTGGAGGACAGATGAATTTCCTTTATCAAGGACAATATAAGAGTTAAAATAAATCAAATCTTTAATAGTTTTGCCAGAAACTCCTAATAATTGCTCCAAATGAGGCAGAATTCCCTTCAAAATCGAAGTATTGGTCACCGGACAAACTAAGGAGATATGAGCCATCCGCCAGCGGCGAATGTTGGTTCCGTCTGGACCGAAAATCTCCGGACAAAAGGGTCCTCCTTTTTCGGGAACAAAAGTGCTCGGATTTAGGGTTTTACTATTCTTAATTTCTCCAAAAGATAGTTTTTTAATTCTTTCATCAGTTAGTCAACTGAGTTTAAATGATTTAATGATTGTCATAATTATACTTGTGGGATTTTGCTGAACTGCTTGTAAAAATCAACTTCCTTGTCCTGGTAGTTAAAAGCTCGAAGGTCAAAACCAATACCCCGCAGATATTGGAGAAGCAGGTTAAAGGATTCGCTTTGATTGCTACGGAGGTCAACTATGGGTTGGTCGTTAAATAAGAAAGAGCGACGCAATAAATTTCGTCCATTAATGTCATCAGATTTGGCACCAGACATTTCATTCAAATTGTAACAAAGCCCATGGGCTAAGGCGGCTTGTCTTTCCATTTCTCCAAAACGTTGTCGGCCACCATGGCTTCTTCCCTTGACTGGTTGTTGGTGAACCAGGGCATAAGGGCCAGTATTACGAGCATTAAATTTATCGGCTACCATATGGTTGAGTTTAATGGTGTAAATGTAACCTACTAGAACTTTTTGGTCGAAAGGCAAACCAGTTTGACCGTCATAAAGTTTAGTTAATCCATAGTCTGGCAAACCATTCTCTTGGGCAATACTTTCAATTTGTTCTCAACTTGGAGTGTTAAAAGGTCTAACTAACAACTTTGTTTTTGACTTATGAGCCACTAATCCTAACAAAACTTCTATTAACTGACCGATATTCATTCGGGAAGGAACACTTAAAGAATTAAAAATAATATCTATGGTCTGACCATTTTCATCAAAAGGCATGTCTTCTTCCGACACAATTTTTCCCACTACTCCTTTGTTTCCAAACCTAGTAGTCAACTTGTCACCGGCTTCAATGCTTCTTTTTTGGGCTACACATATCTCAACAACTTCCAAATCGTCTTCTTTGTAAGTGCCGCTTCCTCTTTGATAAATTTCTTCTTTTTGTCAGCGGTTAATTTCATAAACAATGCCTGTTGTTTCTCCGCGAGGCAACCGGAAAGAGGAATCCATAAAAGCATAGGCCTCTTCACCCAGGATGCTGGCTAGCAGCAATTCCTCAGCCTGTTGCTTTTTGTAAGGAATTCTTTTGCTGACTAGAATATCATTCTCTCTCACTATTGAACCTAGTTTCACAATGCCTTCTTCGTCCAGGTGGCTGATTTCCGGACGAGGATAAAATTCTTCTTCTTTGGGTTTTTTATCAATTTTTAATCTCTTACGAATTACCACGTACTTTTTAGCAAACAAAGAAGTTAATTTTTCTTCCTTAATCAAACGCTCGTTAACCACAATCGCATCCTCATAATCGAATCCTTTTCAGCACATAAATGCGGCTCGTAAGTTATGACCCAAGGCTAATACTTGTTGTTCCTGATAATTACCGCAAGCAATAACTTGTCCCGCTTCTACTTTTTCTCCTTTTTTTCAACATAACGACTCCGTGCGAATGTTAACTGCTTCCAACATGCAAAAACAAGCCGTAGTTTTACTCAAAGGAGAAGCTCCCTTGGTAGCTAGCGGAATTGAAAATTATCTACTTGATAATGACTTTTTAACTATCAAAACTGATGTGGAGGGAGTGGTAAAATATGCGGATAGCGAGAAAATAATCATTCACTCGCACTCGGCAAATGAAACTCCACAAAAAAAACCTCTGCTCAAAGAATATTCAATTAATCAGTTTTTAATACTATGCATTTTCTTCGTTA